AACAAAACTGTGGATGCTGATCACAGTGTGCTGTGTTGAAATGGTAGATAATTTTTGCAGACAGAACGTGGGTGTTCTGAAAAGTGGTCACCCAGACTGCATTTCGGTGTGTTGGTGTAGAGGAGGCCACATTGTGAAGAGTGAATACAGTAGTCAGGATTGATTGAAGTGCAGGAAAATCATTGCTTACCTGGAAGTTGTGTCTGGGATCTTGGATATTGAGGAGGGAGAAAGTAAACAGGCAGGCGTTAAATCTTCTGCAATTACATGAGAAGCTGCTTTCAGGGTGTAGGGAGGTGTTGGGAGTAGAGGAGGAGTGGACCAAGGTGTCCTGGAGGGAATGGTTTCTCTGGAAATCTGACAAGGGATGGGAGGGGGCTAGGTGTTTGGTGATGGGATTCTGCTGGAGATGGCAGAAATGGTTTGGGAACCCTACAACCTTCAGGACTTAATATTGAGTTCAATAATTGTAGGGCCTGAGCACCTTCTCCCATGTCCTTATCCCAACCCCACACACCAGGCCTTGTTATTGCATGGCTGCTACCACAACCAACCCATTGTGTCTACCAATGGTGCCCATTAGCAGTTATTGATTCTCCCAGTCCGATTGTTACCCATTGCTTTGTCTGTCCAACTGTTGTTCTCTCTTGCTTGACTCCACCTCAACCTATTGTTTACTTGTCCTCCTCACCCTCCGCCCAATCTTCAGTTCATATACTAACTTTTTTCTTGCTACAATCAGTTCTGAAGGGTCACTCGAGCCAAAATGTTAATTTTGCTCTCTCTTCACAGGCGCTGCCGGGCCTGCTGAATTTCTTCAGCAATTTCTGTTTTTGTTGTAAATTTCCTCGAACACTTTAGAACTAGTTGGCCTTGTAGATGCAGCTCGTAAAAGAGGATGGTGGCAGCTATTAGCCAAACACAGCCTGGAACTGGTTGGCATCACGTGCGCATATGATAGTTAGGAAGCAATTTTATAGGAAATTAGAATATCTAGATAGGAAAATGAATATTGCAAATAAAAAAATAGGACTAGTATGTGATGGTTGCTCCCTGCAAAACAATGGAAAATCAACGATGCCAAAACTTCCCTGTTGTGGATTATAATTTATCAGTCTTCTGATATCATAGCAATGCACTGTATTGCTGTGTCATCATTGTCCTCTCCTTCATTATTTGAATGTTTATATATTTATATACACTTAATTGTTCCCAGATATCTACTTTTATTGTATGAGTTTTATTAAATAGGTTCCAAGTGAATGTTTTGAATCCAATTCTAATTATGCATTGGGGTCACATATAAATATTCAGAAACAAATTGACAGGTGAGACAGTCACCCAAAGATTGACAGTAATTTGTGATTAAGATCCTATGACATCATGGCTGTAATCAGCCAAGCAACTCCTTTGGTTGACCAAATTTTTCAGCTCTAAACCAATTCATATGACAGTTGCACTTTTTATTTGTGTTCCATTTCTATTTGTTTTTGTTATTGTTGTTTTCTGAATGGTAAACCATTTCAGCTAAGGGGATAGTCTGACAACTTGTAATCAGGCATCCAATGTTGTCAGTAAAGAGTAAAGAGTTGGGGGAATGTGAGAGCAGCTTGGATTATACTTCGTGAAGAACAGTTGAGTTTCTACAAATTATAGCCTTCCTAACACCATACTTCATGTCAAACCTTTGGAGGAGTCTCTTCTATTCATGATTTTGGTGGAATTCTTTCAGATTGCTGATAAACACAGGAACATTGCTAGATTTTCAGCCCCCAACCTATTTCACTATTCTATTAAACCATGGTGGATCTTTGCTTCCACTCCTGTCTTTGCTCTACATTCCTTGCTATCCTGAATAAATAAGACTAAAGATTTCATAAAATCTACTGGCTATCAAGTCCTGACAGGAATTGTGATGTTGGTTGTTCTAAGTCTTTGCAGAAAATGTGAAAAATAATGTGTTTCTTTGCACAGTCTGGCTGATACTTTGATTGGGACCCAGGTTTCTGTGTTGTAAACTCTTATGTTACAGAGAAGAAAATAAATAGATGAATGAAAAAGCAAAAAAAAAAGTCTGCAAAGGAAGCAAAATAAGAAGTGGTAATCATTTGTTCTGTAGTTAACAACAAAATACATTTTAGGTACAGAGGGAAACTATCTAAATAAATGGGTTATATGGCACAATGAACATTAGATATTGACAACAACAACAACAAAAAAAAAGTTCCTGGAAAAGCTCAGCAGGTCTGGCAGCATCTGTGGAGGAGAAGACAGTTAACGTTTCGGGTCCAGTGAACCCTTCCTCAGATGCTGCCAGACCTGCTGAGCTTTTCCAGCAACTTTGTTTTTGTTCCTGATTTACAGCATTTGCAGTTCTTTTGGTTTTTATTAGATATTGACAATTCACTTTGGAGACTGGAATTGAACCGAGTGACCAGGTGAGGAGGGGTGAATCAGCTTCCCTCTATTTCACAACACTTGATTGACTGCAGCAAAGACTTGTTTTACTTTTTTTTGCTTTCAGCTATATCACATTTTAATTGAAACACAGTACTGGTCAAAATTATAGGAGCTAATTATGAGATTTATTTGATTGAAAGGAAGAGAAATTTTCTTTCTTACTAACTTCTGGGAGAAAAGTAATAAAATGCAACATTGGATAGGCACATGGATGATAGTAAAATGTAAGGTATACAGGGTAGTTTGATCTTAGAGTAGGATAATAGGTCGGCACAACATCGTGGGACGAAGGGCCTGTACTGTGCTGAACTGTTCTATGTTCTATGTTCTAACATCAAATACAAGTATGCAGTTTAATAAGGGGAGGTATCTAGTACAATAGTGTCATGAAGTTGTGTAGAGTAATTGTGAATTGGAAGGCAGGAAGCTAGAATTTGTTCATAAAAATTATAAGGGGGGAAGAGTGAGTCTTCCCTTTAAGAGGTGATGTGCTTTTGTAAGCTTGGAGATTTAAATAAAAATGTGTCTGTAAACAGCTGAATAGGTACACACAGTACTGAAATGGAAATATGTATCAATTGTCTGCGTGATTGGAAATCTTAGGCTTGTTTTGATATTTTAGCAAATAGCTGGAATCAGCCAATTAATTTAAACCAAGCACTTAACAATTGAAAGCCAATTGAATTTAAATCTGATGATTTTGACAATCTCGGACCACTGCAATTGTAAGAAAATTTATATGTCATCCAAGGTATATAAGGAGAGGGTTTTTGAAAATCAGTGTGGGAGTGAACTACCATCTGAGAAATAAGTACCTAGCTCTCGAAAGAAATCGCTAAGCTGTCTAAGAAAATACCATCTTATCCATAAAAGGTACCACGGTACTTCTAGTTAAGAGTTGTCACAGTGAAAACATCACTGACAGTGGAAGAAAAGCGTTTATGACTTGGGAACAGCAGAAGAAAGGCATTTATGAATGGAGAGGCAGTAGAGAAGACGGAGTATCCTGGAAAACACATTCTGTGTGGACTTTGACAGACTAAGTTTTAATTTTTTTTTACTCCTTGTGTTATATAAGTGGGACTTGTATTTATTGGAATAGAATACTAGTAGAATTTTCTTCAGTTAGGGAATAGTTAGGAGTTGGGGGTAATTGTCCAGTTTGTTAGCAGTTCTGTTAATTTGTTCACTGTTAGGGTTAAATAAATAAATAGTTACTTATGACTTGTCAAGTGAATATCAGGGATTTTCTTTCATTTAACATCCCCTTCTTTGTAAAAGTTTAACAGATTAGGTGAGGTGAGGGTGAACTTCTCTGGATCTTTCAGGTTTAATTATTAGAAGGGGACCTCTACTCCCACCATAACAGAATGGCGTCTTGTGTTTCAATTTTAATTATCAAGGGGGTTTGACACCAAACAACGGCCCCCCCAACAATGGCAAGATAAAGGCTCTGCAATGTAATAACTTATTAGACTCCTTGGTGTTGAAATTGAGATCATGGCTGTTTACACGATATCTCACATCCTCAGCATCAGCAAAATCTGTAGATCTCCTTGAGTTCTTGGAGGATGGATGTTTCTCCTGCTTTGATTCTAGTTTATAGTAATACTAGGCAAGTCAGATCCCAGAAGGAAACCTGTCCTAATATTAAATTTTTGTAGTTACCATGCTGGTTAGTTGCTGAACGCATATACACAAGATGGCAAATATCCTTCAACAAAAGACCCCAAATTAATTATACGAAAGAAGAAACTAACAGACAAAGCTTTTTATTTATGACAGTTTAGATAGATTTTAACATAAGCAGCAAAGTAAAGTTTCATCCTGTTTCCTCACGCTATTTTGATTCTTATCTTACCCTTACAGATACTCAATCCCAGAAAACTATCACCTCAATTTCAGCTCTGTAATTTCTGACTTGCATGGCTGTTCTCAGTTCTTCTTTAAATTGCTGAATTTTATGAAATCTTTCTGTGTCCACTGCCATGAGCCTTTATCAATTCTAACGGCCTAACCATTTTCAGTTCTAACAACTTGAAGACTTTTTATGTAATCTCTCTGAACTTAGAAGCTTCACAAACTAAACCCTTTCTGCTATGTTGACTAGCTCTCATGTATCTGCTGTTTAAACCTACTGTTCTGAAGTCAAAATAAATCTAACGGCCCTGATCTCTTTTCTCTGCCTGACATAAACTAGTAGTTTGAACATTACATCCATTAACACCACAGGTGTCCATCAAGGAACTTAACTGAAGTCACTTGCCTCTTAGAAATGGTGTATTATTCCAAATAACATTCTGACTTTTTAAAAAAAACCTTCACTGAGATGACCAAAGTTCATCTGCCTCTGTTTTAAAATGCAAATCTGAAGTGATAATAACATATTTCAATTTGTTTTGTAGTAGCACTTGGAATGTTGAGAAGATAACAGTGAAAGAGAATCTTCCAATCCTTGCTATTACCAATCAATTTTCTTTACTTTTCTGCTGCTCTGCCGAGGAAGTGATAAAACATGGTTCATTTTGTGTTTCAACAAGGTGCAGAGCTGGATGAACACAGCAGGCCAAGCTGCATCGTAGGAACAGATTTTGTGTTTCCTTTATTCTGGCTCAACTGAATTTTCAAGATGGATTAGTTCTAGCAGGTAATTCATGTACAGAATAAACAACTTCTCATACAAATGTAAATTAAAACAGAAGATGTGAATTTCTTGACATCTGACTCAAATGACTTGTTTATGCCTTTCGATAAAATATTAATTTCAGTTCAGATGCTTTAATTAACTTCATCCTGGTTTCCCAGAATTGCTTCAATCTGTGGTCAGGTTATTGCAGACATTTTATGTCCACATTTCTTCCTTTTTAAAAATCATTTTAGTCCATGAATATCTCAGGTAGTATCCCTACCCCTGGCCCAGAAGGTCCAGGTTTAAGTATCACTTGCTTCAGAAGTGGGTAACAACAACTCTGAACTGGTTGGTCAGAAAAATAGGTTAAAGTCAGATGACAGTTGAAAATTAAAGCCCATAATTTATCACTGTTGTACAAAAATATTTTGTTCATTGTTTGCGAAAGTGCAATCAAATAAAACTTTGTATTTGTCTCAATCTGTGTACTGGCCTGATAGCATAGCAAGAATCTGACCATAATTGCCAAGATAACTCATATGGCCCATATGATGGCATAAAACATGGTTTAATAACATTATTGAGATAAATTTGAGTGAATTTTAATTTTTTCCTGATCGTGGTCTACCTGACTGAGAATGACTTAACAGTGCAATTTTATTACCACATTGATTGATACATTCATATAAAGTTCTATTTGAACTAGCTCAGTCATTAACCAATTTATTTACCAGTTATTGATGAATTAAGAAACTACAAGCTGCAATGTATGCTATTGTATGACAAATAGTGCAAAGAGGAAAGTAAAGTTATAGATACCTGAAATGGAAATGTGTTCTACTTCCCAATGCTAATGTTACATGTCTCAATGTGAAATTAGCAATATAAAAGATAGCTTTCAAAGTAAGTACTTTGTGTTGAAGTAAACTGTTTTTTTTCAGAGAGATAACAATATTAGTTGTCTTTTGCTTTCTGCCTCAAAATATTTATGTAGATCTGGAAAAGTTAATCTATCTATATTGTTAGCAAAGAAAACATAAAACAATTTTCTGTCTGTGCCTTTGCATTCTTTTTAATCAGATACAGCAATTAGATGAATAGCATTTCCCTTGTTACCCATCACCCAGTGATTACTATTCAAAGCTTTTACATTTTTAATCACAACACAATTAAGTCTTGGACTCTTGTTATGAAACTGTAAAAATAAATTGTGTTGATCACCAATCAGTTTTGCAACTCAATTGGTTATACTTATTGAATTATAATTATTTTGTTTTTAAGTGGAATATTGTTTTTGCACATTTTGTCTATCTAACAGATGCAAATGTATGTTCTAGAGAGGTCTTTTCTGACTTGAAACATTAATTCTGCTTCCTTCTCCACAAATGTGGCCAGACTTGCTGAATTTCTCCAGAACTTTCTGTTTTATTTCAGATTTTCAGCATCCACAGTATTTTTCTATGATCCAAATGTAGGAATTGGATCACTTTCCATTTTGGGTTTCCTGGTTAATTATCACAGGATTAGCTACAACTCCGTCTATGCAGCTCCAAATAGCGTGTTAAAGTTCTAACAACATCCAGGCTTGTGCTGATAAGCAGCAAGTAACATTCATGCCATACAAGTGCCAGGCAATGACCATCTCCATCAAAAGAGAGGTAAGCATCACGGCTTGATGTTCAATAGCATTACCATTGCTGATTTCCACCATTATAATCATCTTAGGAGTTAGCATTGACTAGAAAATGAACTGTACCAGTCAAAAAAGAGCTATGGCTACAAGTTAGAAGCCAGGAACTCTAAGGCAAGTAATTCAGCAGGCTGATGAAACTTTCCACTTATCTGAATGGGTGTAACTCCAACAACATTTGAGAATGTTGACACTATCCAGTACAAAACATCCTGTTTAATTTACTCCATCTTGAAAATTCACTCCCTGCACTACAGATACATGATGATAGCAGTCTGTACCAGTATGCACCATCTTTGACAGCACCTTCCAAACCTGTGACCTCTGCAAACTAGAAGGATAAACATAGAAAATCCATGGGAACAATGCAACTTGAAATTTCCTCTCCAGTGACACAATGGTGATTTGGAACTATTTCGCTGTTTGCTCAGTGTTACAGGTTCAAAATCCTGGAACTCCTTTCCTAATAACACTCTGGGTATTCCAAAGACTGCGGTAGTTGATGAAAGCAGCTCAACACTACCTTCACTGGGGCAACTAGGGATGAGCAATAAATGGTGGTTGAGCCAAAGTTACCCACACATTTTATGAATGCAAAAAAAATTCTAATATCAGATTACCACCTTCTTCTGCATCTTCGTTGACTAAGTTAACCAAAAGCCTTTTAATCATGTTTCCTGTCCTTTAATAAACTCAATTGTGCTATCAAAAATCATCACAAATGAAATTCTCCCTACACTGACAGCAGTAATTCAGGAAGAAAACTTACCACCACCTTCTCAAGAGCAACACAGGACAGTAATAGAATGCTTTGCCTTGGGTTTTTAACAAAAAGAACTTACACCTGGAACGTTTTGATCTTCACTATTATTGCATGCTATTTATGATGACAGCTTTGTTGAAAATGTAGTGTATGTGGAATTTGCTAAAAAAAAAATACAAGAAAATGACCCAATCTTCATTACCAATGTAACAATAAAGCATATATGACAAAATATAACCACTGCTGTTAATAAAAAATTATTGTAAAATATTATGTAACCAGAGATAAATCAAATATTATAAGAGAAATGCCTCAAGTGCAAATGAGGAAGGAGCCTTTCTGGCTGTGGAATGAATGCCACATTCCATACCTGGCCATCAGTTAACCTCTGACACCATAGATATAGATGAACCTATTCAATAGCAGTTTCATGTTAAAGTATCTTAATTACTTTGCTCAAATCTATGTGAATTCAAAGGACCGCAAATTAAGTAGCATTTCAGGGATGACAAGCACTTAATTATTTTCACTTTCATTTTAATAGTTCTTGCTCATGCTCAAGTTAAAATTATACAGTAAGTTAACACATTATGAGAGACACTGACCCTGCTACTGTTGAAATTATAAATACAATAAATAACTTTATAATTACAACTAGGCGATTCAAGATGGAAATCAGAGAACACTTCTTTCCACGAAGGCTGTAATGAAATTAACAAATTATGGAAATGATTGAGGTGTATGTTAAGTTTGGAGGAATTACTTTAAATGAAATGCACTATGTTAAACATTTAAATAAATGCCAAAAAATGCTATACAGGAAAGCAAATGAGTTTTAGGGACCTTGGAGGGTGATCAGGCATCTGTGACAGAGACAGACATGAGGACTATTTGAACCAGAAGAATTAATGAAAGCAAGGTGATAAAACTTCCTGTCACAGTGACAAATTATAAGGCAACAGACATGTATCTCACACACAAACAGACCAGTAGCCACAAGAAAGGGTTGAGCTCTAATAGAATTCCCTCAAAGTTTGAGACAAGACAATATAAAGAAATTATTACAAATTGTGAGTATATTTTTCTTTAAATCTATTTGACTGAAGGTGAATTTTTTGAAAGATGGAATTAATCATTATGTCCAAATTGAACATATTAATCTCATGTCATAGCTGTTATTGATATTATATGATACAATATTAATTTCTATAACATAATTTAAAATTTATTCTTAAAATAAGTGTTCAGAAGCAAATAGAAGAGTTCAATCTCAAACTTAAAATCTCATGAGTCCCCAACAATATCCGAGAATTTGTAAGTTAAGATTCCAAGGGCTGATGTTGGTAAACTTAAAAACTAAGTTGTTTCTAGTGTAATATCCTTGGAGATATTTTCTACTATGAGAACATTTTGCTGGCTTGGATACAGCTGGGAAAAGGACATTTCATTCCAGGATACAGCCTCTTGCTGCTAAAGGTAAGGATCTTTAATGATATGAAATTTCTTATCATTAAGGCTTTAAGCTGACCATAAGTTTGATTTAGTAGGTTTACCTTCCTGGGGTGATGATGGTGGTGGGAGGGTGAAGGTAGAAACACCATTAAGAATGTTAGTTAAAGTTTGGAAGTCTCTACCAGAGAGCTGTGGATGCTGAAACAATTGGATCTTTGAAAACTGAGATTGTTAGGTTTCTGTTTTTCAAAGCTCAGAAGTGATGAGCAGAAAAGGCAGATAAATATATTTGTGATCATGGGGTTAGTTAGTTCAACTGGCTACGTGGCTACAAGGTGCTGCAGAACAATACCAAATGAGAGGGATCTGATTGAAGTATATAAAAATTATGAGAGGCATAGACAGAGTAGATTGCGAGAATTTTTTCCCATGGCAGACATATCTAAGACCAGGCAACATAAGTTTAAGGTGCGGAGCAAGTGGTTTAAAGGAGATCTGAGAAAAGAAATCTTTCACCCAGCGGTTGGTAGAAATATTGGATGTGCTACCTGAAATGGTAGGGGAAGCAGGTTCTTTCACAACTTTTAAGGCCAGAGTAGGTTGTGGACCAAGTGCAGGTAAACGGGATTAATGTAGTTTGATATTTGTTGGTCGGGCATAGATATGGTGGGCCAAAGGGCTTTATGACTGAATGCTCTCTAAGACTTTGGATGAAACATTTGTTTTCAGCCCCCATTCACAGAAAAGACAAACAAATAGACAGTTAAGGGATAAATTTTAAACAATAACAAAACTGGCCAGATTACTTTAATGGCTCTCATGATGCATTGTTTCACAGGCAAGTTTTTCACTTGAACATTGATCAGGGTCACTTTCTCAATTTACCCAGACAAAGACAGCAATACTTCTAACTTAGCTTTCTACTCTTTCGGATTCTAAAAGTTGGTGTATCAGATTAGACAGGGAGGTTTCAAATCTTCATGCTGCCTCAGCAGCAGCCAAGAACCATATCACAGAAAACATAGTTCAAACAAAAACTTTAATTCTGGTTCTGCCCTGAGAGATTGATCGACTCTTTCCAAGGCCTCAATTACCATTTGACAACTACCATTT